AATTGGATCCTAGAACTGGACACTATATTCCAGATGTGGCCTCACCAGGACAAAGGGAAGGATCTCTTCCCTCAACCTGCTGGCCATGCTTGTTTTAATACATCCCAGGATACCATTGGCCTTCTTGGCCACAAGAGCACACTGCTGGCTCACAGCCAACCTGTTGTTCACCAGGACACCCAGATCCTTTTCTGCAGAGCTCCTCTACAGCAGGACAGCCTCAACCTGTACTGATGCATGCAGTTATTCCTTTACACTCTACACTTGTTTTTGTTGAACTTCATCAGTTTCCTTTTTGCTCAACTCTTCGGTCTGTCCAGGTCTCACTGAGTGGCAGAACAGCCTTCTGTCATGTCAGCCACTCCTCCCAGCTTTGTATAATCAGCAAACTTGCCTAGGGTGGACTCTATCCCATCATGCAGGTCATTGATGAAGATGTTGAACAAGACTGGACCCAGCACTGGTTTCATGACAACATCTGAGATCCTCATTGAAAACAACATCTATTATCATACCACTTGTTCTCATGCAACCCATTGCTGCTGGTGACCTTCCACATTTGTCAAAAGCAGTGGCAGAGCTGCTGTGTAAGCAGCTGCCTCGCCCTCCTGCCAATGGCAGAAAGCTGAGGCATGAAAGCAGTGAAGTATTTATACCAACATGAGAAGCACTTCTATAAACAATGAGACTTGCCTTAATTAATGGTGGAAAATGAAACAGATTTAGGTAGTCATGGGTTAACTTCTCAATAGCAGTCTATAAAAAAAAACAAACAACAAAATCCAATGAGTGTTATTCAGCATCAAATATCACAAATACCAGCATGAAAAGCAGAGCAGTTCAGCATGTGCTGTGCTTTTCATTGCAGCTACATCAGGGCATGTGACTGCAGTTTAAAATACAGCTCAGCTCTGGAAACTGTCTCAGTAGATCGACCACATTTCACATTCAGAATCTGAGCTGCTTAATCAGAAAAAAATAAATGCCTGGGGGTTGTTTTTATTTATGCTCAATCAACCCAGGAAGCCAAAGTCTTTCATTTTGGGCATTATTGACTTTATTAAGTTTCAATAATTTTCCCTGTAGGAAATGTAAATTAAAGATATCAGCAATGGTATGTGCTATGGAAAAATGGCTGATGAGCAAAGAGGAATAAATCTGTGACTTACAGAGATGAAGCTAAATTTGCAGGACTAGCAATTACGATAAAAGTATCTCTTTACTAGTAAATTGTGGTATAAAGTCACTGAGACCCAACAGAATCCCAGATGCGGCTTTTAGAGAGATCATTTTCCAAAGCTGATAGCCAGGAAAATGTAACTATCTCCTGTGGATACATTATTAATACCATTATTGCTGTTGTGATCACATTTTCCAGACCATAATTGTCTGAATTCATAACAAACATTATATATTCAAAAGACCAGGAAACAAAGCATTACAAGCAAAGCAACCTGGCCATCAATCAGCTTAAAAGTAGTCTAAGTGGGGAAGTTTAGAGATTTCAGTTCAAACAATTTCTCCATATCTGATCCTCTCCTAGCTAAAGGAGGGACAGCACTCTGAAGATATCCAAAGCTTTTTGCTGGATAACTGGCTCTGCCCTATTACACAAATCTCCAGCAGCATTGTCAGTCCCACCCTCAACAAAATTCATAGATGAGGAAGAGAATGAAGATCATGGCACATTTCACAGCTCATAGAACGTTCAGGGTTCTTTGGGTTTCAGAGCCATATGAACCTGTAACTCTGATTCTTTTTGTACCAAACAAGCTCTCTATTTTGCTTTGTAATTTACAAGTAAAAAATACTTAATGCTACTATAAAACTGTAAAATCTCTCTCAATACCTACACTGTAATCTACTCCGATGTTCAACATATACTATTAGATACCTTTAGGTGGATGATGTGTCCTCTGGAAATGATTCCCATGTCCTTTAAATCTTCTTCTTCTAGAAGAAGCAATCGCTTTCCAGTGATATGATGTTCTTTAAACAAGCTAGCATATGCACTCATTTCACCAGAAGCATCGCCTTAAGGTAAGAGAGGTTATTCAGAAATCCATAAGGCTTTTCGATGAGGGAAGAAAAAGACAGATAAACGTATTTGTATTCGTTAATATGAACATGAAGGTACATATGAACAGCTTTTACCTTTTCTAGTAAGTTGTTGCATCCAGAAAAACTGAAAAAAAAAAAAAAAAAGAATTAATCTTGGAAGTTCTTGTTAGCAAAATTTTATATTACTTCGAGCTCACAAATCACTCTTTTAGAAAATTAATGTTAAGAATATTTATAAGCTTTCATTAAAGGATTCAGGATTCTCCAATGTTATTTATCTTTTTAAGACTGCCTTCTACTTTGCAGGTCCATTCCTTAGCTTATCATTATGAAGAACAACCAAAATGACTGAGGCAAACAGCATAGCAACCTGCCACTCGATAAATGGGCTTTAGTTAAGCCCTTAGAAGCAGCAAGAGCTATCCTGGCTTTTGCACTGTCTTTACACGGAGTCCTTCAATAAGCCTTAGCTAAACAATCCCATGCTGCACCATACCAAGAGTGCTAAATGGGACATGAGAACCACTGTGACGCAGTGACATGCTAAAGATGAATAATTGGTTTTACTGGTTTAGCATTTTAATTGAATAAAAGCTCAAAAAGAAGGCTCAATGCCTTTTTTTTACTACGAGATAGCCCACACCCCTTAATATACCCTTAACTTTCAGTTAATTTCCATTCCAATAGCATACAGCAAAATAAAACCTTCAAACCTATTTTAAACTCTCCAGGAAAAGCCTTGCTTAGACAGGTCTTCTCGTAGCACTTCCACATTTCCTAAATGATTGCTGAGGAATGCAGTTCTGGCTGCTGAAAACTCACAGCACAGATTATTTTTCCGGACATTGAAGAATGTATCTGTTTAATCAGGGTCACATAAATTCTTAACTTATGTATGGTCATTTTAAAAGCCTTTCTGGGACACAAGTTCCACTAAGCAAATAGCAGTAAAAGCTCACCTAGATATTCTGATCCAGGTCATATTCCCTCCATACCCACCGCAATTGGCAGAGAGCTCCAGCAGCACAGCACTGGCCATGTTAACACAAGATACTCACCACATCTTCTTCAGTCCATGCACAAATATCAAAGGAGGGCAGCAACTGTGTGAGAGATACGAATTGAAAAAAAAAAACATCTGACTGTTGCTCTCCCCTCCACCCAAAACTCACTCCGGTGGCTTTATTTGGTTCTTTTCCTCCAGTGAAGGGGAGGACTTTAACCCGCGACTCCCATATGGGGCACCAGAGCGTGCTTCCCAGACCAACAGAACAACCCTTTGGATTCAAACTGATTGCGGGCTTACTCCAGCTATCTCACTTCTTGTTTGATACTACAAAAAGGCTTTTGCTTTTGTTATGGATTCGATATCATTTCTGCAGGAAAAACAATGCTGTGATTATGACACCATCCAAAATGATGAGGAACATTTTCTGCAGAAGGAAGTAAAACTGCCACTAGACAGCAGAGAAAACAGGATTTGGAGTCAGGCTGCTGTGGTCAGTCTTCTTGTTGGGACAATTCTCCTCTGGTTTCTGCCAACGCTCCGTAACTGCTTGCCTGAGGCTCTGTGAGCACAGCACTTCCCAGCCCCTCTGGCATTGCAGCCGACATATGGCATGCTTTGTCGTAGCTCTTGAAACCACAAAGGACAGATGTGAAATTCTGGGATGATTTGGAAAAGTTGACACAATAGAAGATCTCATTGCAATACTGATTGCTGTTTTACTCACACAAGCATATGCTACCCAGGCTTCACCTTATTTGCATTCTTATCCAGAAAAAGAATTAATATTAATTTGTATGTACACATTTGGACAGTCAGAATCTCCTTAAGGCTCCATGCCATGATGCGCTTGTAAGCTTGATGTATGTAACAGTGACCTAAGAGAGTGACAGCTCAGTTACCCACTGGCCTCCAGGCCCTTCTTACCTCCAGTAAGTGAGCTTTGCTGGCCTGTGAGCACCCCAGCCTCCAGGCACAGGCCAGGTCTTCACCCTGTCTGTGCCCAGCTGAGCCCACAGCAGAGCTGTCCCTTCTGGCCCAAACTGAGCACATCCCCGGATCTCCAGTACCAAGACCAGGCTCTAGTATAATTCACCCAAGACTTCCAACTGTGCCCATCACAACATTCATGTGAAGCTCCCACTGGAGGATTTATGATTGCCCAATGTTCCTTGACACGTCCTCCATAACTACGGCTTTTGACATCCACCCCCTGCTTTGAGCTTGAGGACTCTTCAGACCCTCTTCCTCCTACCATCACCATTACAGTCTGCTGTGCACAAATCATCCATGAGATCTGAAAGATCTGAAAGACCTCTGCAAGAAGGACCTGGTGGGCCTTTACACCTATCCTCCTGCCCTCTGCAACCCCAAAACGGACAGTGCCAAAGGCATCATAGTGAAACGTCAGATGGGAAAATGTGCTTGCTAAAAGCACTGACTGAAAACATGGCATTGTAAAGACAATCTTCTAAATCTACCTACTGCTAGTCAGTCTTATCTTGTGCAAAAAGATACCTGCTGCCTGGGCAGCAGTGCTGAGGCAACAACTGAGCCCAAGGAAGGGCAAATGGCCACCACAAAGACCCTTGCGAAGGCAGTGGGTTGGGCCTTTTGTGGGTACTTATTGTCAGAAGGGCTGGTGCTGTGTGAGGAACTTGTAGAATAATTGGTATGATTAAACCACTCACTGCAGAAGTCCAGTACTGCATTTTTTGATTGCATAATAGATGTTTTCAGGCTTTCCCACATTCAAATATAACCAGAGACAGAGTATATCCCATATTCTTTCAAAATTAAAAAAAAAATGGAAAGAAAAGATGGGCAGAGTAAAGTAGAAATGTTACACAGTGAGTAACATAAAAATGACTTGAACCACCAGACAGTAAGGAACTCTTCAAACATCAGCATTTTACACAGGGACACAGATGCATAAAATTTACTGTCAAAATGTTTATTGCAAAATAGAGTTTGGAACAAAGAGAAGCAAAGGAAAAAGTTCACATCAATAGAAAGTTCATGACACCAATTGAGGAAATTGAATACATTGCATGGTTTCTTTTTGGTTGTATGCTATGTTTTTACACTGGAAAATCAAATCCACAGTGTGAATAAAACAAGACATCATATGTCAAGTGCAATAAAGAGAGTAACTGACGCTGCAAGGTTTTACCACACAGAAGTGTAACATTGCATGTTCCACACAAATTATATATTCAGTTTACAGCACAAGAGTCTTGGCACAGGCACTGTGCTCACCATTTTCTCAGAAGGGAGAATGATTATTTTGAAAATATCTTCTATCCAAATTTCATCCGTTCACACCTGAAGTGTAAGTGGCATCAATTTCTATAATTCAGTACAAAACTTTTTCAGTAGTGCAAAAGCAAGAAATGCAGTGGACTATATCTGACTTTCAAAGGCATATGGATAGTTAGCACACAATACAAAATGTTTAAAGAAGGTTGTTGGTTCTACATTTTCAAAATTAAATCTTCACACATCAGAAATCTCTGTGCAGATTTTACAGTGTATACACCAAGTCGAAGTCTGGGGAAAAGGAGAAAGGATTCTCCTCCAGATTCCTACTAGTGCATTTTAAGGGCTGTGAAAATTACTAAATGAACTTATCTTTTTACCTGAAATAGGACTGTAGTCAAAACCTCTGTCAAGTTAGAGGTCCTATTGAAAACCTGTAAAAGCTGCCTGATTACAGAAAAAGAAACTACAGTATTAAAGACACGGTGACTCTGCTGCATACTGAATAGCAGTATGCACACTATAGATTTACTAATACTGCTGAGAGCAAAATGACTTGTTATTTTAACAAATATTTAATTCTTAATAACTGTTTCAACATCTAGAAGGAGAGGGAATCAACATCTAACAGAACTTCTCAAACAATAACGACAAGTCAAACAAGACTGTGAGACAAGGAGCTACTCCAGACTTCACCTCCCCAAAGCCTCCATAGGTAGATGGGACAAACTCCAGGCCAGGCCTCCAGCCAGCTGGGGATGCACCACCTACACCCCATACATCCAAGGAATTAGTGATCACAAAACTGGTCAAATCAAGTCACAAAAAAAGACCAGATTAAGAGTTTTACGCCATTAATTCCTCCCCTGTTTTTTCTCCCAACGCTGAAGGAAAAGAAACAGAGTTGGGAGTTAGGACATCCTGTCTTGGTCCCAGCTCATTCTGTATCTTCAAGCGAGCCAACAGACAATCCTCACCATTCTTCTCTTGAGCCACCCTAGTAAATGTTGGCAGAACAACAGCCTGGTGAAAATGAGAAGCTGAGGCCCAGTTCTTGCATTTCCCCTCTGTCAAGTACAGCAAAACCATTCTGCTGCAGATACCTGCAGAACTTTATGAAAGGCAGAGAAATCTGGGACCCCAAAAGGACCGATGGAGATGAGTGTGCTTAGGGGTGCGTGAAGCATGGGAAGGCTTTGGGTGCTTTTGCTCACAGCCCAGAGTAGCCAGAGAAATACTTCTGGGGTTTGATAAATGCTTTCCTAAGCTGGCACAGCAAGTGGCTGTGGACTTCTGTGCTGCTGACACAGGCAGAAAACAGGCCAGACTACACGGCAGAGCAAAATCAGGTCTGGAAGATGAAAATATTATGATCTCCTCCAAACAACACACCTGCCACCAGAGATGCTTCCAAAATCTTTATCTAGCTAGGAGATTGTCAGAGGCAGAAACAACAAGCTGATTCTCACATGCAATTTTTGGCTTGTAAACTGCAGACATCTGTTACGAAAGCCATCACAGAAAGTAAAAATTCAATCAGTATCGTTTCTTTCTTATAAGCATAGCCAATATCCTAAGTATAATACTGTGATGATAGAACTGCACCAACAGAGCCTATCATATGTTATCTGTCATATCTTAACTTTCTTTACAATTCAGAGATCTTTGCTACTTTAAGCATGAAGCAAGTTGTTTTAAGAGAGTCTAAATTTTTTCTTAATACAGCTAAACTTGCTTTGAGAAGCAAAGTGTGTACAAGGTAAAGAATAAAATCTTTTTTTCTTTCTATTTCTTTTCCCCATAAAAGAACTGGAACTAAATAAATAGCCAAAACTCCTAGGGGCATGTTACCAAATTCTGATAATATTCTGCTGAAATAAGACACACACATGGGTGGTAAGTATAAAAATTTGAAAAGAGACCCAAATTTGGGTATTTTTTAACTAAGAATTCCTGTAGTGTACTACTCAAGGACTATTTTTAATTCTGTAAACACTAAGGAGTGAATGTAAAAAATTCAATTAAAACTTACACAAATATAAATATGTATAAAGTGCTCTGAGAGTGTCAGATCCTAAAAAAAGTGCAAAACATCAGTGCTAGGGACAAGTAATTTCTGAACGCTAATCAAACTGAATGAAATTTTGTTTTCAGTTAAAGCTGTACAACACTGCATATGTGGTACAATAATCTACGTGCAACAACACACATCTTAAGTGTACACATTAGGTCAAATTTTCCTGTGTGCAATGTGGAAGTTAAAAAAAATAATATAACTGCTCTGGGTGTTAGCAGACATAAACTTATAGAAAGAGTGCAAATCTGCACTGGAAATAGCCTATTTGTTCTTATTTCCAGTTTATTCTTTCAGCATCTCTTCTCTCTAAAGTCAGATTGCTTTGATGGACCTAAAATGCCATCCCTACCTGTGTCTAAAGAGCATGTTGCCTCCAGGATATGGAGTAAGCTTATCACATCATGTATATTACAATTCAGACATGAAATAGCCTCCTGATACTTGAGGGTTATCTTCAAGCCAATGAACCTGCAACTGTTAGGAAGAAGGGGAATGAGGAATGATATCCTACTTGAAAGGAAGCATTCTGGAGGGCCAAGACTGGTGAAAACTGAGTGGAGCATGCCAGCTCCGGCTGAAGCACTCACTGCCTCGCAGGCTACCAGACCAGTGCTGGCGTTTCAGAATAAAACAATTCTGTCTCACATCGCAAAGAAGTGCCCCACTCATCACTCTGGGAAAACTCCTTCAAAGAACTTTCTCTTTTGTTGTCTGAACATGCAATGATTTCAGGCCTGCTGTTATCTAATGTATCCATTTTTCTCTAAGCAATCTACAAAAATGCTCATATAATACATAGGTTAGAGCTGTGTAACAGACAAGCCTATAATTAAAGAAGCCGCTCAAAACCAGAAGTTTTCATAAAAGAAACCCCTCCAGTAACAGAGAATGGAATTTTGACTGTATTCCTTATGGAATTTCCCACTGTAGCTGAACAAGACAGTAACATTTCTCTTTTAAAATGCTGTCCTTCTTCCTTGGGCAAATATTTTACATCAGCTTCCTTTCTAACCTGCATTCGTGTTTGTGCTGGTTTCCCTCCCTCCTCCTGCATTACTGCTAAAGGGGTCATCAGGAGAAAAATACTCACTGCTCTCAACACAAGTGCCTGGCAGGCAATTATTGCAGCAGATTGTTACATGCCGAGTTTTATGGAAAGTCATAACAGTAGTGGCAATGCTTTAGAAGTGATTTAGCTGAAAAAAAACCCCACATACTCAGGGACTGTAAATATTCCTCATATTGCTGCCACCACTGAGAATTTCACACAAGCCACGGAAGCAGGGTCCAAGCTGAAATGTCACCATGACTTTTCCTTGTCCTTTTGTAAGGATAGCACACGTGCCTTAAGAGAAGCAACAGAATCAAAATTTGCTAACACCCATTTTTACTCTCAGGTACCAGAGTAAGTACATCAAAGTTAACGAGGCTTCCTGAATTTACATCAACATAACTGAAAATTAGCTTCTAGATCACAATATCTGATAATGGATGCAGAAGTCTGATTGCGATTCACTTTGCTAGAGTGAATTATATACACATGCACACACACGCAAGGGGAAAAGCATTTATACAAACCATCTACTAATAGGGATTATCTGGATTCTGCTGCTACTTGGTTTTTAAACTGTATATTTAGCTTACCCTTTTATTTCTCTCAGCTAAGCTTCTCTTTTCCTAGAAACGTATTTGTGACTTCCCACAACCTCACCTTGAAAAAGCTTTAAAATAGAAACACAGCAAACCCCTTCACTGCAACAGTGAGAAAGATTGGATTGCGGAGAACAGCAAATCTGAAAGCACAAGTGTATCATATGATTGACAATTAAAGGGGTAAAGATAGTGACAAGCAACAACAACAAAAAAACCCAGAAAAATTTGCAGTACATTAATTGCATTAAAGGCATTGAAGTTTCCCCCAGTGTTTTCAGTTCTTAAGTTTATCAAGCCATAGTTTCTGTAATCAGGCATCAAGAATTACAGACATAATCATATTTCTTAATAGTAATCTCAATTACTTTGGAAGTTTAGTACCAAATTTCATCAAAATAGAAATAAGTCAACGCAGTCTAAACAAGAACAATGTCTTCCTACACACAAACATGCTCGGCCTGGAAAGTGTCTCACTTTTTTTCTTTTACAGGATTTGAACAGACCAAACTGACAGGATTCTTGTTCTCAAACTTTATTGTTTTGCTTTGCTAAAACCGATTTCAAATTTAATTCTGTAACTGATTTCATTCGCTGCTATCATCTGTGTCATCAAAATCATCATCATCATCATCGTCATCTGACCAGTCGAATTCACTGAAACCCAAAGCCATGTTGATTTTCTTTCCTTTTCTCATAGAGGTGGTTTTAGAAGAATTCTTTTTGGCTTGCATGTTTATCTGCATTCCAGAACGCAGGACAGATCCTGCTTGGTTCAGAGAGAAGACATCCCCAAAGCCCGTCATCATCAAGGCCTTCAGACTTTGGTTCATGCCAGCTACCTCCCCGTTACTTGTTGCTGTGATCTGACATGACATCTCTGCACTCTTTGACTCCTCTGTTTTAGATTCAAAGTAAGACTCCTCAGACATTCTTGCAGCAAGAGGTAAGAGAAACTATTTGAAGAAGGAAAGGACAGAGCAAAAGTGAAAGTTAGAACCAATTTAAAAATCAAGGAAAAAGACACCACCAGATTAGTTGGCAATAAACAGAAAGCATAATGATTAGTGAATCTGAACATGGAGTTCAAGAATTCATTACAACTGCTTAATTCTGTGCTCAATGTTCTCAAAAGGAAGCGCAAAATCACAGAATTACATGGCAAGAATCACAGGTAGCAGAGCTTTCATGATCAAAGGAGGTTCAGGCTCTTCAATCCTTCATTTTGTACAGCATAAAACAGATTGTGATGCTTTCTAACCAGGTCAACTGACTCCTGGGTCACAACATAAGTCTGAGTTAGTTGCTTAACCGAACCTTTCAGGATTGAAGAATCAAACATATTAAGAATAGAGAACCCAAACAAGTTCCTGAAGTTTGGTGCAGAAGCAGCAGCCCTCAAAAATATTAGAAATAACAGTAGCAGTATTATTTGTGCAAAGACTCTTTTTGAGCATATACTCAAAAGAAGAAAGGGTCATCCTGCTATGGCCGCAGTCAGAAACAAGCCTCTCACCAATTCAAAGGAGACAGGAACCACCTTGAGCTTGACAGCACACTGCTTCTGGAAACTGTTCCAGAGAGAAGCAGGCATGGAATGAGGGGGCTGCTTGGTCAGATTCTTCAGCTTGGTTGGCTTTTTTTTTTTTTTTTTTTTTTAATCTTTTCAGTGGTATAAAATTCTAGATATCTCTCATTTGGTTGCACATGATTTTAAATCTCTACTGATTAATTCTTCATCTACAGAAAATTGTGTTTTCTTTTGTCAGTCTGCAATTACAGAGTTTTACAAATTGAAACCATTCCCAGCTAAATAACAATGCCTCTTCAGAGTGCCACAGCAAGTAACTTCAGTGAAACGCCTGCCTATTTTTCACAGGGAGCAAATCCTCAGGTGTATGGACCTAAATTAAGCTACCAACTAAAGCAAGAGCAAAGGAGCTACATGCAAACAACTGAAATGGTCTTTCTTTTCAAAGTTGCCCCAAAAATGACCTGCCCCAAAGTCATTTTTTCTACATCTTTCTTTTAAGCTAATCAGAAAACTGACTGAAGTGTTGACAACAGTTAATCGCAGCAGGTTATGAGAGGATTATGCTGGTGCCACGGCCATACAGGAGGCTTCATGGCCAGGCTGCTCAAAGTGTGCCCATTTCTTTTCAAAACCACTTTCATTAACTGTCTATGATTTAAAAAGGAAAATATCTGTCTTTTGTCTCTTTCAGGTTTTTCCTACTTACATTGGCTTTCCATTTGCATTGTGGTGACAAAAGTCAGTGGTTGTTGTTTAAGAAATGAAAGTAAAATTAACAAGGGAGCTCTTAACACTCTCTTGTGTCCTAAGGCTGTCTACATGATCCCCAGCTAAGCCTATGTACACCTGGCTGTACAGGAAAAGATGATCACCAGAACACCACTTAAATCAAGAACACCAATAGCTCCTATAAAAGGAGAAAATAAATAGCTCCTATTGATATAGAGGAAAAACAAGAAATAACCACAAAAACAGGATGCTCAGCACACTGATTGAGTGCCAGGTAGTTCTTTAATCCGCTATCAGCGTTTTAATCGCTTAAGAACCATGGAAATGCATCCCCTGAAACACAGGAAGAACTCCTTCATAATCAACAAAGCAGAAGAACTCTCCTCTGAAACATATTTCTGTATCACTATGCAATGTTTGTCAAGAGGTTAAGGTGCTAGTAGGCCACAGCTATGGTACATTTTGTGGGTTATAAAAACCTAACTTCCTCCACATTTTACCACGTCTTGTTATTTTGAAAGCTTAGGAGTTCTTTGTGACAAGACCCGTATTTGTTGTCACATTACATGTGGTGACCATCATCAAGGCCTTTTATAGATCGCTGGGATCCTCTGTCTCCATACAAGTCACTGTTCTTAAATGATGACCTGCAGGTGCATGACACCACAGGTAAATCTTCAGATTTCATGTCTTGCTTGCTGTCCTCCTCTATACGAAATTCGGTTTAGCTACATGGACCTCCCTTGTTGAGCCAGGTTGTCTTTCAAAAGAGAGCTGTGGACATATTTTATTCCTGCAAAAGGCTCCATATTCCCTTGTGCAAGACACTCTGCACAAGGGAAATTTGCTGGGATAAGACCTGGAGGTGTCTGTTACATGAGTCACAGCAGAAACAGTCAAAATGAGAGCAGGGAGAAACACTACTGTCACAGAAGTGTTTGTAAGGTTTGGCCTTATCTTTCTCTCATGCTGATTTACAATGCTGACGTGTACAAAGACATGCTTTATTCTTTGGAATAGGCACAGTCTTCTGCTACTCAGAGCTACCTACCATGCGGGATTCCAGGATGAAGCTTCTACCAACTCTGTGGCAGAGTCAGCTTCCCTGTTTCCCTTTCACTTGGTTTGAGTTTCTCCTCCCGCACACCACTTTAAAAGTGTCTGCTGGCCTCCTGTCTTTGCTGCAGAGCAAAATGAAGAAGTGACTGCAGAGTGCACAGCAGGGACAACAGTACCATCTGAGACAGAACAGGGCCTAGAGCTGGCTAAAAACCAAGCACAAGCCTAGTGGGCACTCTAAGCTGTGTTATTAGCTCCAGGTTGCATGTCTTCACAACTGTTCTGACAGCCAAGGTAGCTTAAAATCAAGCAGTGCACCTCTCTGCTGCAATCATATGGTTTGGCATTGCTAAGCAGACGTACCCTGAACTGAGGGATGAAGGGAGACACCTGACTCCAAGGATTACAACTTGCAGAGAGAATGCCCGGGCATGTTTTCCAAATGATATATAGCTATGAATTTAAGAAAGAGTTGAAATTCTACATGGCACTGGTTACAAATGCATTCGCTATGAAGAAACCGATCCTGCTAGAACAAGTCAATTTTTGTCAATATGTAATTTTTTTTTTTCCTTTTTCTTTTTTAAAGCTGTTCCATGCAACAGTTCACTAGAGATCTATGGAAAAAGAAATATATCTATTTTTCTGTTAGAAGAAATTGCACTTAAATGCAATAGAAGAGTTGCGTTAATATTATGCAGAAAAGATAGTTCATGCTCTGCACAACACACCATTGCACAATGCTTCATACTTTCAGCAATGCCAGATACAAGAAGAAAATAGAAGTCATAAGCAGGTACAGCATAAAAACCCTACGGCCTTGCCTGCAAAAAAATTTGCTCATTAAAGCTGTGTCTCATGCTGTGAGCAAGACAGACAACAGTCCACAGCTCAGTTACTAGAAGTTTGCAAGCATTAAAGCAGACACAGGGATATCTAAGAACACACAGTTTATCTGCACATATGAAAACATTCATTCTTCATTGTTTCTTTACATGGTCACAGCTGGAACATGAATGCAACTTCATTCAAACAGTAGGAATAAGCTCTGCCTTAAACACAAGTTGTATGTAAATGGCTCTGATCAGAATCAGTGATATAAGTGAGATACAATTGTGCATAAGTATATAAGATGCTATTGCAAACTCAATTTCATACTTCTTTTGGCTAGTACTTTAAAAACAAGTGGGTTAATAACAGTATTTTTCTTAGCAACAATTCTGTCATAGTATGCTTTTATTCAGGCACTAACCCTGTAGTCTTCCTTCTGCCAATCAGTCACTGAGGATATCATACTTCATTAGGAAATTCAAGATGATACAAAGGATTTTTTTGGTTCAGTTTATTACTGTTTTATTATTATTATTATTAAGAATGTGGAGGTCCCACCAGCCAGCATGAGCACATTAACTCTAGCTATGCACAAAGTCCCAGATTAACAGCTCTAATTTTGACCTTCTTCCATGGCATGGAAATTTGCTTCTTCTCATATTAAAAGAATATTAAAAAAAAAATAATACATAGGCATCTCAAGCTTTCTTCTGCAACAAACAATCTTACTTTTAAGACCAAATGCTGTGTCCATTTAAAGTCAACAACTTTCTAGTTGAAAATGACTTTACTGAATGCAAACAAATTTTAATGCTGAGAACTGAAATTAAATCAATGGGAAACTACTCAAAAGCCCAGGGCACAAAATGAACTATAAGCAATATCTGATATCCAATGTATTACATTAATTTTTTTTTTTAAATAATGTAGTCATTTGCAGTGATATTACAAAATAGACCCAACACAACACAAAGAAAACTGGAGCACTAGTCCCTTGGTGTATACCTAGATTTGCATAGGCAAAGCTTGAAATGCTTTCTGAAGTAAAATGAAAGGATGAATTATTGTCTACTTACAGGAGTATTGGACTGTTCAGTTAACTTCTGCTCCCACATCTTCAGACGTCGCTCCCGTTCCTTTAGTTCCTGCTCTTTAAAGCTCAGATCACGCTCCAGTTTCTTTAGTCTTTCTAAGGTTGCCTCAATTTCACATCTGCACGGAGACAATTTGTTACGTCTTGTCTTTTCTTGACAGATATAAATTGTTCATAATTCCCACTTCAATGTTAATTAAATGTGAAAGGCTGAAAAGTACAACACTAACTCAAGCAGTTCATTTAATTACCAAATGCAAAGCCTTTCAGAGCTTTAAGAACAACTGGCAATGTTTATACTTCAGAATAACCATAATACCTCCAACTGAAGAAAAACAGAATTTTAAAAAGAGTAGGAATGCCATGTTATAATAAAATTCTAAAAACGAAAATGCCATTTTTCCAGGAAATATATTATCCATAAAGCACTACACTAAATAAAGATAATGGGACAATCATTAGCAATACAATGTGACTAGTCTGGAGAAGCCCATTTGCTTAGTTTTATAAAATGGCCATAAATTTTACTTGATTCAGGATTCCAGTATTTTCACTGCTAACCTTCCTGTTTCTCTAGGTCAAGATAAGAGCATGTAAATATGAGCAAGAACATAACGCATATGATTCAGCCCTCCAAATGGTCACCAGCTTCTCAAGTTAGGAATAGTTAATTAAAGGATTTGGTTTACATTTTTTTTCTGCTTTTTACCACACAAGCAAAGGTGAGACAAACAAGAAAGACAGGAAGCAAAGGCTGTATTCAAAGGAACTTAGATATGGTCTCTGTTGGGTTGCATTGCATGTACTTCATCCCTTAAACAAGTGGTTTCCTTTGACATGCTTTCTAATAGTATCTTTTAAGTGTGTTCATGAACTGGTCTGCTTCTGGAAAAGACTTTAACAAGCACTGCAAAGGCATGGGTGTGTATTAGAACACAGAGAAAAGTAATTTCATCAGTAAATGCAGCTACATTTTTTGCTTGTAAGATAACCAAAGGAAAAAAATTCCATCAGATGCTTCATTTGTATTGAAGTTATTTAGCAAACAGTTACTTCAGTTACTTCTCATTCACATTGTAAGAGCAGTCCATCACAGTGCTCTGGTTTTGCTCATAAAAAAAGAGAGCAAGCTTCTAATGAGATCGATCCTGAAGAGAGCTCTTACGATAGCTAGGAAGAATTGGCAATGCCAAACACTTCCGCTCAAACTTTCACAATATTTTCTTCTGTTAACATACTGCAGAAAATCTGTTCCTTCTGATATTTACAATAAGAAAATAGAAGGTCTACCACAACGGTAGCTGTCATTTCTGTTTGGTAAAAAATAAAGTGCTTTTTTTCTCTGTCTTAATACAGAGTGATTTAGCTATTCTCCTCTATCACACTAAAGGAGTTCGGCTCTTAATGTGGGAAAGTACATACCAAAAGAGCCTACTTAAGTAAATGAGAGAATTTAAATATCCTAAATTCTGTACATGCTCTACTATATTAAGAAATCTCTGACAGAGAGCAGTGCTCACAGAAGTCCATGAAAAGACACGGAGTGTGAATAAGTAGCAAACTACTGCAAACTCTACAGCCACGCTTAATTCCACTGCAAAAATCAGCCACCTGGGGCAAGGGCATTTATCCCACTTAAACCATGCTGAGTGAGCTGCTCAGTGCGGTGGTCAGAACAAACGTCCCTCACAATTATTATGCTTCAGATTTCAAGAAAAATTCTCTCTTTTTTAGGCATGTAAAGGTCAGGGCTCATCTCTGTGATGGATGGAAAGTCATCATATATCCTAATAAACAGCAAATTCAACATTTGTTTTAAAATGCCTAGAAAATACTGAAAGCAATGCTCCAGACAGATCTTCTGATACATACATTAGGCAGAATTCCTGACTAAATCTTGTCATTCTCTAAATTGAAAAGCACTGCACGGAAGGTCAGAAAGCAACTCTTTTCCCAGCATTCGTTTCCTTGTCACAAACCCTTCCTGGTCAGTGCAACATGTACGCCTCAATCTACTACAGCAACTACAGAGCAATTACAGGATTGCTGCACACTACTTTTCTTAGGTCTCAACATCACTGCAACATACGTGCAACTCTGTAATTTTTTAAATATGTAAATTAAGGCTCTCTTTTAGATAACATTCTGCACTAGCAATGTCTTGGTAACAATAGCTTTCTATATGTCAAAAGTCTATTTTGTGCTGCAATTATCTCTCTTCATTAACTAGAAACTTCTCTTACAATAAAAGGTCAGTCTGCAAAAACAGTTGCATTCCAGAAAATAATTCCTCTGTATAATAAAACTGTGTAATTAAAAGAGAAAGCTACCGTACATTGCCCAGTTAATGAGTCTTCCTTCATAAATGAAGCAGCTTGAAACATTATGCATTGCAGGGAGCGTATATTTGTTTGCTTCTACAGTTTCAGCTTGCTTGCTTTCTAGAATAATCTCATTCTGTGACACTGAAGAATGTGTATACTGTTACTAGAGATTATAATGATAAACAGCCACAGATTAAAAACAATGAGTGGTATTTGTTTGTATGTCTTGAATTGTTAGTGGTACACTAATATATGTATCACTAATAGACTGCTTTTAATCATTTGAACAGTTGCTTGTAGGGAAAGGATGCAAGTTCAAGAAACGCAGTTAGTACACGTGGCTAAATGCAGACAAATGCGATTTCTCACTGAATTGGAACATCATTACTTCAACACTAATTTTTTTCTACCATAATAAAAGTGACTTGGGAAAGAGCTCCAAAGATATGAAAGAACATGAATGTAAACATAAGGCAGATCTGTGCAACTTAGTCATAGGACAGTGTGTCAATGCTGCCTTATAAAAATGTGAGGCACAGAACAGTAAGGAAATAAAATAAGGACATTATAGAACAGGGAGATTGAATCATTATTAATATAAATGTGAATACCATTACATTTTGCCAGTAAGACCACATTAAAGAAGTGATAAATTACATTTTGACCTTTCACCTGCACAGTTGTGTATGGACTCAGCACATTCTGCTCTCATGCCAGCTGGTCAAAGAACACATTATGGAGTTGGGAAACAACGCGACCCAAGTTGTCCCAGCTTTGATTCACTTTGGTAAGTGCAGCATCATCATGAAAGTGCAGTATCTGTATTACTAATTTGCAGGTTAAGCATAACCTTCACTTTTCCCTCCATCACTCTCCAGTGCTCTGACAGTCAGGCTTTATTAAAAATTCCTATTTCTTCGTAACATATCCAATTCTTTCCCCATTGTTATTTCTTTCCAAATGATGATGGGATTGTAAATAAATAAATAAATAAAGCCACAAGTAAAAGGTAAGATTTTTCAATGCAGAAGATAAAGCACATGAAATTTTTGCACAGCTCTTCTCAGAAATGGTCTTAGTCTGTTTTGGTTTACCTCTTGGGATCACTTTATGCATACAAGCCTTTAATCTGTTTTAACTTGCTTTTTTTTTTTTTTTTTTCTTTTTTTTCTTTTTTCCATACTTCCTATTAATTTGTTTTAACCTTCCTGTGTGTCTCCATGCAGACATGACTTCCACCTCAATTACTAGAATTCACGTATGAAAGAACCACTCTTATCCCAGTGTCTAAACGAGTCCCCATGCAATTTGTGCACTTCTTGCAGTTGTGTTTTCATTTTAGCTTAATTCAGAAGTCATCTTTGCTTTCAGGCAAGTCATGCCCAATCCCAAATTCATCTTTTCTCTCTCACATCTCCTTGTCTCCATGTTATTTGTTCTTCCAGAAACAAAATTTGCCAACTTTACCATTAACGCAACTCTCCATGGTTAAGAAATGTTGGCATTTCTTCACAGAAGAAAGATTTTTGTTCCTACATTGCTTTCCTTTAAGACCTTGTCAACCATTCCTTATACAGCAGCTTAGGTGCATCAAAATAACTTTTTTGGTGAAAACTTGAATATTTGATCACACTCCAAAAAGTGAATCAACTCCATCAAGTTTACTGACAACTACAGCATCTTTTACTCTGCTGTCTTCGTAAGAGCTAAATAAATACTTGTTTCTGCTAAAGGATTTTGAGTACTTGCTCATCATTAAAATGAGGTTCCATTTCCACAAACACATTCTGGCAAATTTCGTTTTACTGGCTGCTTCTGCGAGATCATGAGCTTCCTTAGTTTAGACAGCGACATTCCGCAAAAGCCGTGGCACGGGCGGAGCCATTCAGCACCACACCGGGGCCAGCGCAAGCGCGAGCAAGCAGCGAGGCAGCGGGCCGGGCCGGCGGGCCGGGTCCGGGGCGGCAGCGGGCACAGGGCGGGCGGCCGCCAGCAGGTGTCGCGCTGCCGTCGCCGGTGCTGGCGGTGCGGGGGCCGCGGCAGCGCGCTGCTGAGTCAGGGCAGGAGCCGTCCCGGCTATTTATACTGCTGCCATGTGACCGGGGAAGCGTCCCGGCTCCCAGTCACTTTTTCCACTTCTTCCAATTAAAAGCACAAGTCTCGGTTTTACTGGGAAGTCCGCGAAGGGAATACCGGATTCGGGTTTTGCTGCAAGGCCCGTTCCCCTGCTCTTGTCCCCGTGCTCTGCGGGCTCCTGCCGCAGCACGGTGCAGGTGGGGCACTTTTAATAGCTCTCCTCTCTGCTCAACTGGAGGGGGGCCAAGCTGCTTAATATAGACCGAATGCAATCGGCTGGTAAAAGTCTTCTGCCTGTGCAGATCTGTTTTCAATTTGCTTTTCCAAACACAGGATGTACTGTGAGGCTGCAGGCTTTCCAACTGACAAATGTGCTCTGGGGACATTTTTTGAAGTTTTGGCACACCAGTAAAACAAGCTGGCACTTTTACTGTAAAAATGGGGCTTGTACTGCTATTTTCTCAAATCTCATCTCCATTTATAATCACGCTTGACTAGAAATTATGATCGGCAATAGATAAAATTCCATATCTGCAAACGCACTTTGCAAAAGCAGGGCTGGCCTGGATACAGGGCTACAGCTATGACAAAACACAAGTGAAGACAAATAAAGGCTTAACTTGAAAAATTATTCCTTTATGTCCTTTTTTTTTTCTAAAATAAACACATACTGTCTATATGCTTCCTGTTAAACCTGCATCAAACAGTACATACACCTGAGTTGTTTGGCCCTCACTGAAAACATGTGAATTACAAAACCATAAATAACGTGATACCAAAACCAATGCAATAATAAACATAGTGTACAGCTAAGTGTATTGGCTCTTAATACAAATTTCACAACATTCTGAGCATTCCTGAAAAACAACAAGGTAAATCGTGTTCTAAAAATAGAAATTTTTCTGCCAATACCTCATCAGTGCCTGATGTCCATCTGAAAACAGTATGGACTTCTGCCATTAAAAAGGAAAACCGTGTCATTTCATCCTGGGAGGCAGGAAGCTTACCTCCACTCTGCCTTGTTATGCAGGAATGAATTGCACTGGTCTGGAAGGTTGCTGTCGTTTGACATGGATTCCAGAATTGAAATTATCTGCTTGAAAGATGGCCTTTTCTGAGGAAAAAAAATAAAAAATAAGAATCAGCATTTGCATTCATATATGACTATTACTATGCAATGTCATTCGTTCAGCTGAAAGTGATGGACTACAAGCAACTGAAATTGGGATACTACTTTCGGACAGAGCATCTGCATCAGGAGTGTAAAGTTTTAATTTTTTTTCTTGTATGCTGAAATGTTAAATTTGGAAAAAGTCACACAAGCCAGTAAGACTCCAACCTTTGCTTAGTATCTACCTAAATAACCATTTACTACTTCCTGGGATAGCACTAAAAACATTAGAATCATAGAATCACCAAGGTTGGAAAAGACTTAAAAGATCATCCAGTCCAACTGTTCACCTATTCCCAATAGCTCCCACTAAACCATGTCCCTCAACACAACATCCAGCCTTTCCTTGAACACCCCCAGGGTCGGTGACTCCACCACCTCCCTGGGCAGTCCGTTCCAGTGCCTGACCACCCTTTCTGAAAAGTAATACTTCCTAATGTCCAGCATGAATCTCCCCTGCCATAGCTTGAAACAACATTAAACAACATTAAACAACATTAGTAATAATAATAACTAATAACTATAAAGATTCTCTATTCTATAAATGAAGTTTGCCTCAAGCTAAGAAGGAAAATAGCACCTCAGAGAGAAGGCTGGACCAATCAGCAACTGGTCATTAGACAGATGGCATTTACAGAACTAACATAAACTCTTTAATGCATGAAGATGCTATTAGCTGCCCATCACAAATGGTCGCCTGACTGCAGAGCTCGGTTCTTGCAGAAAAGGACACTTTCCAGAAAACCCTCTACTTGGTTAGCTAATGGGTAGCCTGGGCAGCTGCAGAGATCTGGGCTAAATGATGCTGCCTTCCCTTTGCCAGCAGGGCTCACAGGAACTCATTTGTTCAAGTTTCTGTCCACAGCTCTGTGCCCAGCAGCCACTGTGCTGACAACACAAGCACACTCGCCACTTATGGAGAGCAGTCACAGCTTCTCTGCGTTTTATGCTTCCCCTATAGTCCCGAAATGAAGCTATGAAGTCGGAGAGTAACTGAAAAAGCCAGAGTAAAACGCATTTCGTGAAAGAACGCTGACTCTGTTAGTCTGTTTGACAGACTCCAGACAAAGTTGAGACAAAAGGTTGAAACAAAATGTAGATATATAATAAGGGAATGATGCGCATTCTCTCTGTATCTCGCCTCTAATTATACCATTCCTGCTAAAATTACAGATGCCGCAATTAAAACGTGCATTTTAATTTGGGAGCACAAAAACAATTAGGAACAATGCTGAGGTGTCTCTCCCAGGAAGATCCAAGTGATTTCCACATTATAAAAGAAGACAATTTCTTTATTTTAAATGTCAAACAGCATGAAAAAGTGTCAAATGCATAACAAAAAAAAAGACAAGCTATCTTATATTGTAATGCTGCAGTGACTGGAGGCTTTGTCTGTCGCTTTTTGGTCCATTTCCATGAATTTGGGCAAATGGGCAGTGGAGTGAGCTATGCAGGTTTCTTTGTGGCACCTGCCCCAACCACTTGTGCCTGTACAGTCTGGCCTCCAGCCCACCATGCAACAAGCCTTTCAGCAGCACAGTGTGCACCTGTTAATGTACTCCCAGTGTAGAAGCCCAGTGGGGACCCTTGCCCTCAGAGATGGGCTCACAGAGGGGCGGGGAAAGCAACAGCCCCCCTGCATACACAATGCTTCTGGAACCAAGAACACCAAATGAACATCATCAGCACTGCCATCAGGCCTGCCTAGAAAAATTGGACTTAAGAACAGCAATGGCAAGAGATCAGGGCTTTTAGCAAGGGAGGCTGAAGCACCAATAGATTGATTGAGAGTAGCAACAACACACACTCTGTTGGACCTGCACAGAGCAGACCAAGCTGGTATGCAGCAAATCTTTACAGGCTGAAAACAAGCTGTTCTGTTTCATGACTGCAGCTAGAATAACTGTACAGTCACAGTACTGACAAAGCTTCTCTGGCTGTGCAGTTTCTGTGAACAGCTGTCAGCTATTCTGCCAGCTTTACAGATGCCAGACATACAGGTAATAGCTTTTTCTGGAGGTGCAGAAAACAGCAAGACACAGACCTACATTGGTATTTGTTTTTGTCAGTTTCTTTCCCCAGAGGCAATGAAGACTTTATATTTAACACGTGCACTCTAGGTGTAGACTGATAACCTGGATAAGATTGGCAAGAGGTGATTGCTGAAGCTGGGAATACAAGCTGAGGAGCTTTATTTTTATTAAAAAAAAAAAAAAAATCAAGTCTTATTTCCAGTGGACAGCTGCTTGGTACTTCCCAGGAAGCCAGGCATCATAAATGGTTCCTTGTAAGAGACTCAAAATGTCAAGGCATGAGTCACCTTTGAAAATTGTTTCCCTTCATATCTGTATGTATCATGCAAAAAATCTTTAAAATATATCTGCTCCTCCAGAAATAGTTCTGGCTAATGCTTTCACTGTTTCCTTCCACTCGGTATTTCTCACTAGACGCATCTGCCTAAAACCAAGATATTTAAACCATATGCCTTTCCTTTATTGCTGCTTCTCTGTTCTCAGATTTCTGAGTTCCATCAAAACATACAATAATTTGTAATCATCTCTGAAGTTAAAGTGGGGATAAACTGAGGGAACAGAGGAAATTACAAATATGCACTCACCTGTGTTTCCAAAGCAGGTGCCCCCAGTAAATGAAAGCATTAGTGATGAGCAACATTTGTACAATTTTCTAGTACCCAAGCAAAGGTTGCTTATTTCATAGGGATTTTACATTTGGTAGTAGTTATTTAAGACGCTCCATTACCACAGAAATTATTAAATAATCACTGATTTAAAGTAATTAGTAATTAGCATTTTAGTAATATACTTTGAACCCACCAGGGACTGTTTCACCTGCACAGCTTAAACTGCGTGAAGACTTTGAATATACATCACCTGGAGCAGCACACTATGGTCATTTTTCTCCAAGAACAAACAAATTTTTAGAAATTCAAAGCAAGTGAATAGCCATATTCATGCCCACGAGGAGGTTACAGTGTGAGCAGTGTCTGACACTGCAGCTGTTTGCAGCACCTAAGTGTACTCCTTAGCCCCACAGTAAAAGCACATCCCTCTTTTCTCAGGGCTAAGTCACAAAAATGCCTCAGGCTTTCTGCGAGCTGAAATTATGCATATGAGCAATTGCTTCTGAGCAGCTGACACTCTCACTTGACCTTCAGTAACTTGTTCATACATTTACTGCTGATTTTCTTAAGCTAATCCTGGCCAAAGGGAAAGCTGCACAGTGCGGCATTTTAGAGGAATGTGCTCCATCTTTTGGCTCAAGCAGGCCTCACAGTCTTTTATCAAGGCATTCTGATAGCTGTAAGTACTGATCCGTTCCCAACACGTGACCGAGTTTGTCAGTCACATGCCCAAAATGTGACCAGAGATTACTTCATTTCACTCATGTGAACAAGGCATTTATAACTGTTTAAAAAACAAGAAGCTGAATGAAAAAAAGTAGTAAAGAGCAGACTGTCAGAAAACTTCACCCAACCTTGTATTTGCTCTTTACATCTCTGATGCGTGTATCTGGGAACAATGATCCCAGAAATGCAGTTCAAACCCAGGTCAGGGTTTGATGCTCAGGCATCCCTTTTCCTATGTGCAGATCCCTCCCTTTCCTGTAAATACAGCAACAGACTTCCAGATTCTCATACATCTGGCTGGAGCAATCTAAAGAGCAAGTATGTGCTCTAGTATGTGCACCAATGCACACTCTAAAAGATCCAAAAATTCTTCTGTGGCCTTTAATAATGATGCTAATTGAGGAGTAGTTATTAATAAGACATGTAGTTACCAATGGGAAGGGCTCTTCAATAATTACTGACCTAGAACTTAACAGCCCTATTACAGATTCAAAGATTGAAAACATTTTTCTCCCCTTGCCTTGTGGAGAGAAGAAAGAGGACTATCATTAAGGGAGTAGCATTTAAACGGGCATTCATTTAGAAACCATATTGCTGATGATCTCAAGCTTCCAGATCAATTCTGTAGGAGGCAACTCCTTGCTTCAAAAATAAAATTTAACAACAACAAAAAAGGAAAAAGAAAGAAAAGGAAAAAGAAAGAAAAGGAAAAAAGGAAAAAAGGAAAAAAGGAAAAAAGGAAAAAAGGAAAAAAGGAAAAAAGGAAAAAAGGAAAAAAGGAAAAAAGGAAAAAGGAAAAAGGAAAAAGGAAAAAGGGGAAGGGAAATCTCCTTTCCTCACACTGCTCTCCTGTGACTACTTTCCAGTGATAATCCATTCTGGCGTTAGATCACCTAAGTGCTATAATTCATTTTGGGATTAATCTTGGTGTCTCTGAAGTAGCAGTTCTCTTTCTTCAGAGTTCAAAGTCACTAAGAGGTCTTCCTGGTGCGTTTACTTGAGAAAAAGTGCAAAATTCCCTATCCTTAACTGTCCTTTCCTCTCCTAAGTACCCTCACAGGTAAAACAAAATATCTCCTGACACTTGGTTTCAGAACTGGTATGCCCACAGGTTCTTTCCAGCCAGTATGTAAACAACAGGATGGTAGCAGGGCCAATTTAAGGAAGGTAATTGCCAGGATCTACAAAAGTATTTACTGAGCAAACATAGTCTTTCATATCTCTTTTGATTTATTCTTATAGAGGAAAGTTAAGCGGTATGCTACAGTACTTCTATTACTATTCTAGTACTGTTACAGTATAATTGTCAGAAAGTTCGTAATTCAAAGTCCTAAAGGAAAAGACCAGAACATTTTAAAATGTTAATCTTGAATGTGTTTCTGCCATTCCTACCCATATTCTGTGGATTAATTTATTCTTTATACATTTCCAGCACAAGAAAGAAATCAGAACTGGACTTTGAAATAGTTATTTGAAACATATTATTCAAAAACATTCAAGAAAGATTAACTACTGAAATAAAAGCAAAACGATTTTTCACTTGATCAAAAATGGCAGCATTCTTGCTATCTCTCTCTATTTACAATCTCTGTCTTCAGTAGTGAGGCAATTTAGAGTAACAACTCTTGATTAAAGGGACAGAAACATATTTAAGTATAAATACGTAAATATATATACATTCTGAAAAGACATCCCCAGCTAATATTTTTGTGAAGCAAATATTTTTGATAGCTCAGACTTGTCCTCTGAAAACAGTTTAGCATACACAGAGAAATAAGAGGTGGAGGATATAAAATATAACAGAAATTAAATTACCTTTGAGTCAGCTTCCCAACATTGATGCATCAGTTCTGCAAAACTTCTGGGACAACTGCTTGGAATGGTTAATCTCTAAAGGAGAAAGAACGTAGGTAGCAGTTATTAGAAACATTTCCCTTTGAGGTGCTAATAATAGATTTCCTATAAGAGCAGAGCAATTAAAATAAGCGAGACACACTCTTCTTTCATTTAAACATAATACAAAACTGACGATTGACATAAAAAAGGGTAGCACTAGTAAGACGTACTATTAATTAATAGATTTATAAAGAAGGAAAGGAAAAAATAAACCAATGGAGTTGCTCAAGAAAACTAGGAGACAAGGAAGTAAAAAATGAGGCAAAGAGATTTTAATACTAAAATATCATAGTTTGTAGAGATAACTACTGCATTGCACAATATTTAAGATGCTTATCAAAACAGGCATAATGTACAGTCTGGTATAATTCCTTTCTCTCATACAAGTCTACAACACTATAGTCAATTTTGATATACCAAATGGGTAAAATACAGACTACACTGAGTTATAAAGAGTTAACTGAAGCTCTACATGACACAAGAGACATTTCATAAGCCTGTGGTCAGAACGATTAATGAGGACATGCAGATCTCAGAGAGCACTCACAGAGCACAGTGAACTCATATAAATATTTTCTGATGACGCAAGACAAAGACTTGCTGGTTACAGCCAGATCCACTAACTACAGAGGATTACTTTGAAGCTGGCTTGGTTTCTTTTGCAGAGAGTTTTAAGCCATGAAAAGTATTTGTTCAGTGAGTCTTAAGCAACACGTAGCTTAAAGACTTTGCCTCCAGACTGCAAACGCTAAAAACAATTCCATTGTCAAATACACACGAGTACCCAAGCCTCTCCAGTTACTGGTAGGCGTATCCCAACAACATAAAACTTAAGACGTGATCCCTTTGCTCCCACTAATGCAACTAACTTACTTCAGACACTTCATGCTAAGTTAAAAAAAAAAAAAGTAGATAAAAAGCAGTTCTGCAGTGCAAATGAGACCAAATATGAGGAAATCAAGCTGGAAAAAGAGCTCCCTGTCCTACAGCAGGTGAGAACCTGAACCTGTTCAGTCCAACCTGCCAGGAAGACCTTTTGATCAGTCCCACTCTTGGAATTTCAGAAGTAAATCAAAGCAAGTTCTGTCAAATTTTGTACCATTGTATTACTATAGCATGACCTGGAAAGCCTTAAAAGCCAAAGAGTTAACAAATTCTGCTATACAAGTATTTGAATACCATGAAAATTAGAAGCATGACATACAGAATCAGGGCATTGCAGGAATTTGATTATTTTAATAATGTAAATACCTTAAGGTGCAAAGCTTTCTATGCAAGAAATACACAGAAATTTGTACAATGCATAAACAAACTGTACTGGCACTTGATCTTTGTTTGAGTCATTACCCTAAAAATACACTGCCTCATCTTTCTGCAGTATTTGTCTGTAACCCTCACAGTTCCAGGAGGTAGAAAATAAGTTGTAGTCTTCATTTACAGCTGTCTCACTTGTGCAGAATGTTATCTGTCATGGAATATAGAGGTAGCAGGTTCCAAAGCTTTCGGATTGTAATGGAAAAGACATTTCTCATTCGTAATTTTGTATGGGATTATCCCTAGTATATCATGAATTCACGTGTTTTTCTCTTCTGAATTTAAATGATAAATTTATATAAAAATTGTACCAAAATAAAAATTACATTGTGAAATTATGCAGAGCCTTGGAAAGGACCCATATGAAATCCTTAAAACCCATTTTATTTCTTACACTCCAGATTTGCAAAGCGGGACTTTTCAACCTAAACAATTATGCTTTGGCCTCAGTCCCACACTGTTTTTAACAAGAGACTTAGAGTGAAAAGAATGAAGGCCTAGCTCAACAGTGACTCAATTCTGTTGTGAAGTAGATCCATGCAAGTCTATTAATGTCAGTAGATAGAACTGAGAACAGAACCTGATCCTCATACTTGTTTCAGGACACAGAAACTATGGGGGGGAAAAAAAAAACGAAAGTAATGCATGCCAACTCTTACAAGGCATACACTGGATATGGTCCCTAAGTCATGGACAGAGAAAATAAAATCTATATTAGCAAGTGTTAATATTCTCAAGGCTTCCTGGCACTATTACAAAGAAGATGGTGGCAACAGGCTAGTACTACCTGGCAGATAAATAACTGTCTTTGAAAATCTCAACACTAAAGTTTCTCCAGCCGTGAATAAAACAGTTCTCATGTCCACATTTTGTTCATACTGTATTTTACACAGTTCCCTGCTCTGGAAAACTGCAGAGAAATGTGCATCGTATCTCCATCATCTTTCAACATAGGACAATCTCTTTACAATGCTATCAGTGTCACTATAAACCACTTATGTAAAACTGTACATAATAGAACATAGTGTTGTTCATTGGTTCCACCTTCTTCAAACTGATATATAAGGCTTTTCCTAAACTGGGAGAAAGAGTCCCATTGTACCTCCTGCTGTGATAAACACTGTAGAAGACCATGGTCATAATCTTCGGACTGGTAATGTAGCATTTCCAACTATTCAGTATATCAGTATTGCTTACTGGAATTAATCCAGTTCTCAAACTGAAGTTTAAAAAAAAAAAAAAGCAACAGAAACAAAAAAAGTCAACAACAAAAAATATTAAACTAAGAGGAGGAAACCTAACTCCACTATTTAACTCTGAAGCATTTTGAGAAACAGTTTATGTAGAATAATAGAAATCTGTATTACGCAGACACTGCCTCACCATTGTAATGTTTCCCAAGCTTCCACTGTGTCTAGATAGAGGAGGTTTCATCTTTGTGGAGGATTTCCATGCTTGTCTGTGTGTGGTACAGTCACAACTTTAAATGTTTTTTAAATGTAGTTACTCTCTTTGATATCAAGGGACTATGTGTTCAGATATACGCTCACATGTCCAACTAACTGAAAGCCTCAATTTGTGATAAGAAGAAAAGCGAGGCTGGGGACACTGTACAAACGGTGTTTACACCACTGAAGTGCTTTTGAAATGGAAAGACTCTGCATGAGGAGGCTTGCAGCTATGCCGCAGCCTTGCCGATACCAGTGAGGAGCTCATCTTCAATGTAGTGTTGAACGTAGGTGGCAAAACTGTAATTTCTCTCTTTTTTTAAAACTATTTTTTCTTCTTTTATTTTTGAAATTTTCATCTAAGCGGCAGTTTCTTGTACTATAGTGACTCCTGCTGGGAGAGTTAAGTTGAAGTAGCTGAAGGTCTCTTACAGATATATCAACTCCCGGCCAGTAAAAAGATGTCCTAAACGCAGGAGATGGAGTTAAACTGTTCCCCTACCTTGGACGCAATGGCTTCTTTCATCACTAAGAACAAACCCCTAGGTTTTACAATTGAGACTGAGAAACTAGTACAGTACTTGTACAATTTTTGATCTACAGCATCACGACGTGAAGCTGCAACAATTAGATGTAAAGGGTCCATTCATGAGGAATAACATCACTTTGACCCTTTGTGTTAGCTCCTACTGCTAATCTTTCCATACGCGTGAACTTACTTTCAATTTGAAGAAGATGAAAAAGTCTTTTGCAAAACCCCAATACTGTTTTCTGATCTATGTACCTGAATGTAGAAACGTAGTCTTACCTCGTTTTTTTCCACTACAAGCCAAGCTACTTGTAATCCTTCCAAGCCTTTAAAGGGGACCTCCCTTGTTAGCATCTCCCAGAGAACCTGGAACAGAGAGAAAGAAAAGAATTTTTATTTCTGCACTTTGTATTTTAAATACATTATTAAACCTTGATACAGCACTATTCTGTATCCAATTATCAGGCAACCAGTTTCCATTTGCAGGAACTTGGACCAGTGTTTGTGTGCAAGATCCTCTTGCTAAATTAATTTGAATGTTTCTGATTTTTCCTCTACAGTAAAAACTGGGTTGTGTGGGGCCTAATGCCTGCAATTTTATGAGAGCCACAGAAAAAGCTTTTTTACTTTTTTTGTACACTATAAAGTTCATATTTGGCAGTTGAGACTTGGGAAGACAGAGAACTCCTCCTATCCTTCTTAGCCCCAGCTAGGCACATCTTTGCCTTGCAGTCATCTTTCATTTAAAAATATTTCTATATTATTGCAACCAGTGCTTTTCGGTAGTCAGGATGTGATCCATAAGGTATTTTATTCCTATTACATGCCTACAAAAATAGTAAATATAATTTTGCAAGCAAAACCATAACTGTCTATCTCCAAGTACGTGATTATGTTAAGCCATACAATATATAGCATATCAACAATAATTCTGTTCTCCCCTATATCTTATAGACACACTGTCCTTACATACAGAAAGATGTACTAATTTTTTAGCATAAGAACCTTAGGTACTTTCTAGAGAGAGTTTGGCACCACTAAATGATTCATGTCACTGAATCCAACTTGTTTTCTGCCTCAAGGACTACATACTGGCATTCAATTAAATTAACAAGAACTTTGTACCTTCGCTTGTGTTTGCCTCTATTTTTATCAGAATCTTCATACTTATCTCTTGTTACCAATATCTACATAGAAACTTCTTCCATTTGTATACCAAGTACAACAGCAATGAAAGACATCAATAATTTAGCACGTGACCAAATGTATTAAGATCCTTAGGCAAGTCTCTATATCCTCACCGGCTGGGTTAGTACCCAGGCTCATTGCCGCTACATCATTCTGAATGGATTCTGGCCAACTATGAAGGTAATAAGAAGAAAAACACAAGGATATTGGCATATGCTGCTCAAGCAGAAAAAAAATGCATTGAAGCAGATTTGGGCCTTTAATCAAGTGAACAGGGTTCCATCAATAGACCTATTTGAATAATTCTGCTTCAGTCAGAAAACTGATCAGCAAAGGTAAGCACATCTTGGAATAATAAGTAAAAGAACATTTTACCATATATAAGAAATACATGAGGAAGGCTATTCACAGGGGCATTCAATTCTGCTGTTTTCCTCAATTCACCCTCTTCAGAAAAAACAACACCAACATTTTGACTTCTAATTCCAATTATCACCTCTCTACTGGTACAGGTAGGAAATTTAACTGTGAGAGAATGAATGAAATAATTTAGCAGTCTTATGTACTTCAGTCCAGAAAGCAGTATACAAAAACAAAAAACGCTTGGACCAAATCAAACACAAGCTGAGTAGCCTTGCAGAATCACCTCATCTGAATGGTTCTAACAGGAAACCACAAAGAAATCCAAGTTTGTACATCAGACAGAGAAGTATCTAAATACAGCTCTCAAGAAAAGAGCACAATGAAGTACAGTTAAATGTCTCCAAGAACCTTGAGCTGGAAAACTCACTGTTCTGCTATTTTTCTTTCAAAAGACTGAATTGTCTACTTTCATTCATGCACGCAAGTCTGTGTGGAACATTTTGTACTAAACTCTGCATCATGACACCTTTAGCGTTTATTTCCACTGCCTGTATGGATCACTACTTTCCTAAATGAACAGTGATTACTTGAAACACTTCAAGATTACATACAGTTTGAGTGAACAGCAATCTCACAAGATACAAAATTTTTTTCTTAATGCCTCATTTTTCACTAGTAGTATAAGAAGATAAAAAACAAATCCTTGCATTTATTTATACAAGTTTAAAGCAATGTTCTTACAACAAAGCAAATTTCATATCCAGGCTACTGCTGTAAGCTTAAGACTTTTCTTCTGAGGGTGACATGTAAGTATCTTAGAGAACTTTCATACCCCACTCATTAATTAGATACTCTGAAATAACACCTTGGGTGAACGAGAGCATTATTAGTCTTACAAAAACAGCAAATCGTATCTTCTGCTTTACCATTTGATGCTTCCTGTCCCTAGGTTCATACAGCCACAAAAAGTGCTCCTGAATCTGACTTACCCTGACCTGTTCTTGGTTTTTTTTTTGGTGGTTTTTTTTTTTTTTTTTTTTTTTTTTTTTTTTTCTCCCTCAAGATACACACTGATCATTTTCAGAACTAAATTCTCAGCTCACCTTATATGGAAATTAATCTGTCTACCATTTCTGGTATAATTTAATTGGGACACTGACATGATTCACTTCCCCTCCCATCTTTGATGGTAAGGATCACCAGCTTTCCTGATCACATAACATCCCTATGACGACAGACAGCAGGTGTTCACAGTGAAATAGCCATGCCAGACACAATGATGGAAAACAAAGCAAGATCATTTAATGCAATGGTTTGTAAGCTGTGGCCTCTGAAGATTTTAGGCTCTTCTTTGCATGCAGAGAAACAGGTTGAGAATTAAAGATGTGAATGTTCATTCCATATATGAAGCTGAGAATAAGATTGATATGTCCTCAGTTCTATTAGCTGAACTGTGCATTTCAGTTCTCATCCTGTCAACTATGTGACAATGATCTAAAGAAAAAAGAAAAAATATAGTCCTATCCCTCAACCCCAATTCAAAACCAACAAAAGCCATAAAAGACAGGAAACACCCAAATAAATGATTTGAAGAAGAAACAAACTAACAAGCAAAAAAAAAAAAAAAAAAAAAAATCCTCCCACTCTGAAAATGCTTTCTCTTGGTAGGAAAGTGTAGGCAAGTGCACACAGACGAGTTTCAGGAGCTACAATTATCAGAAGTAAGGCATAAGCAGAAAGTGTTGTTCTCTTAGAGATACTGCCCTTGAAAATTAGGTCAGTCTCCTCTGGATTGATCCAAGTGGAAGTTAAAGATCTCATAATTCTTTTCAAAAAGAGTAAGGGATAGCCCCTGGAGCTGGCCAACATTCCCTCTATAAATAACCTATGTCCTCATAGCTAAAGCAATGCATGAACTATTGCTAGGAGCACAGCAGCTGCTACACTGAACTTCAGTCTCAGTATACCAATAGTCAATTAATGCTTTTAATTTTTTGTTCTTGCATTTAAAAATATTCACCTACACAGCCTTCTATGATTAAATATACTTACATAACAAACACACTGCAGTCCACTACAAACACTTTTTCCAGGTTAACATATCCCAAGCATTTATCTTCATGATTTCAGAACAGTTTTTAGGGGGAATGTTGTGATTCCACATATACTTTCATATGTGGAAGAGGAGCAAAGGATCATTTTTGAGCTCTGCACACAATGACATAAGACTGTTACTGATCTGAATGGATTTGTGGGTTGATCATTTGCAGCGCTTCATGTCTGTTGTTTAGAGTATGCATTTTGAAATGGATTAGAAAAGAGAATCAGAGCAAGATCCATGTTTGTATCACAATAAATCTGGAACATTCAGATTTAGCATTTACTATGCTGTATTATAAATTACTCGCTATTTATCTCAAAGAGAATAAATGGAACTGTTCCTCCACCCACAAAGAGCAGGACAAACTAATATGAACATTATCTATGAACACATATGTAACTGTTTGCAATGAGGGAAGTTCATTCCAGGTGAAAAGCAACTTGGACCTGTATGGTGACAGAAAGACTAGTACTTCATGGACAAAGTGCTCACAAAGCTTAAGCAGAACATTTAAAATCACAGACTCAATTATAGAAAGCAAAGTTAGGAAAAAGAAGAAATAGAAATCTTACCGGTATGGTAACAAGTACTGTGAACAGAATATCTATTCTTAGCATCTTACTAGTTTACATTTGAAATGATTCTGTTCTTTGTTAACAAGACTTTAACTTAAGAAATGCAGATTTGTCTCTCCAACACAAAAGCTGCTGGCAAGTGTTACACTTCCAAAGGTGACTCTTTAAATGTTGTTTTTACAGATGATAATCACTTGCTAAGAAAAAAAATACTCCTTTGAAGATTTTTGTGTTGTTGTTTTCAGTCTCTTAACAAATTCTCTGGCAGTCCAACACTTACAGTAGGGAGATTCCAGCTTTCAGTGTTATTTTGAAACAATTTGCTGCTTCCTGACAGCTCCATAACATCAGTAACTTTATCAAGTGAGAATCTGGGCTGTGGCTATTCATCATTTCTCCCCTTGCATCTCCTATGAAAACAATAGTGTTCCAAGATGTGGCAATGGAGTTATCCAAAGATGAATTCATTCCTAAGTGCTTCAGAATTCATAAGCTTCTATCCACACTAGAGCACATTAGCTCAAAAAACCAACATATTAAACATGTGGGTCAGATATTATTAGGCATACTGAAGTAGCATTATACACCTGTAACCACATTAATATATTCTACTAACAATGAACTGTTTTCATACTGAGGGTAGTTGAGTTTTGCCTCCAAGCACAGAGCTGCCAAAGGAGGTTTACTTTTTGGAGAAGGAAAAATAAACTCAATACAACATACTGTTCCTATGGCTCTAGTAATACTTGACATGAGAAAATATTAAACAATTGCTTACTTTCTCCCAGTTCTAGAATATTACTTGAAGTCAGTCACACCAAGATGATGATGAGAGTAGTTCTGAATTGTAAGACTATTTTTAACATTTCTCTTCTAAAATTTTTTCTTTATTTTGGAATTGGAATGTTATCTTTCAGTGGATAATATGCGATTGCTTCCAGTAACAGTTTACATTAACATTTACATTTGTTAGCTTATGTTCTATTACTATTTGTGACCTAGCTCTGTTAAGCAAGCAAATACTTTAAATCTGCCAATACAGGCTTCTCTCCCGTTACAAAGTCTCAGTCTTTCATTGCTAGGATATCTCACATCGTCTTTTTATTTTTTTACTCTATGAACAACTGCTTGACAAAAAGTTTATGTAACCTTCTATTGGAACCATCAGCTTAGCTATACATGGTCACAGTCACTAGCTTAAAACCAACAACCTTACATCTCCATCAACTCTTCAAAGAGAAGGAGGCAATATTTTGCAGGTACTGAAACAATTCCTCACTGCTGAAACCAAAATCAAAAAGCTATGTATGCAGATCCATACGCAGAGTAGGACCCCGCTTCCTTTCTCTTTTCCCCTAAAGTACTGTTGTAATAAGAAAGGCTTTGGGGCCTGGCTTAGAACTGGTCTGACCAGGAGAGTAATTTCTAGTCTATTTCACACTGCAGAGTAAAAACACATCAGAATCTGACTGCAGGCAGAATGAAATACTTCACAATTGCACCTGCAAACCTGACTTCGTGATGCATTGTAACTGGTCATTTCCCTTTTGCATAAAAGGTAAACCCATGCTGTATTTTTAGATTGGGCCTCAACTTCCGTTCTCTCAGCTACCTGCTAATGACAGCATGGTCTTTCAAACAGGTAAGCAAGGAAAAGTGGCCTCTTTTTTCATCTTAACTCAGTGACACCCTGTTTTATGGAAAGCCCTGGTATACACCTATTACAACTTTTCCCTCTTATTTCACTAAAACATAAGCAGAGATTAATGATGCAGATTGCTCAGTAGCTCCTGCAAGCCTTCTGACATATGCTAAATACTTGTGGTAAAGCTTGCATTTCCCACACTGGCATGCTGCTAATTTAATCAGATAAGTGTCTTATTAAACATGCAAGACGCTGTTCTTCCTATCATTTTCAAGCACATAATTATGAATTATGGGTCAGTCTTGAAAAAGTCTGATTTTTTTTGTTATTGTTGTCCTTATTCAGAATTGTTGTTCTTGCATCCCATGATTTATGTCACACTGGAGTTCTGCTTCTGTGCACAGAGAAATAAAAGGCACTCACCACTCCGTATGAGTACGTGTCACACGTCTCCGACACTGGGAGACTCTGAATAACTTCTGGGGCCATCCATGGAAAAGTACCAACTAACGACATGTGTGTTGTATGTGAATGGAACCTTGAGGCACCAAAATCACAGATCTGGCAAAGATAAAAAGACAGTAGAGCATGAACCTCATTTACTAGTCATCAAAATATCGAGTCACGCAGCAGGATCTCTCACATAATTAATATAATTGAAGTGTTCATACCTTTAACACGCCATCAGCAGCTATAACAACTACAAATGAAAAAACAACAGATTACAGGAATGTTATTAAAAACAAATGCAATACATGTTCACAGCAAAACACAATACATTTTCACAGCAAAAAGAAATCCACTTTATCAAGAAAAATGATCCAGTCGGCACAGGATGCACAAATATGCATGATTGTCCTGGTTTCTTTGAGCATCTTTGAAGAACACCTGCTGAATCCATGCAAGCCTCTGAACAACTTCAAAACTTTTCAGGTCCTACTGAGCTCAAAGGTAGAAAGACGACTATAACTAAAATGTAGATAAGCTCCATTATCCCCAGTGTAGCAGTTAGGCTTAACAACAATTTAAAAAAAAAAAAAAAAAAAAGGAAAAAAGGAGAGAAAAGTTAAAAATAAAAAATAAAATAGTACCATACAAATAGGCTTTTTTGTGACTATTATCACTCTGCATGCATTATTAATATCTGTACTCCTCCTGCCCCATTACTAGTTCCTGCTTCATTTCAAATCAGTATTTCACAAGTTTTGTTAATGGTTGTCAACTGCCAGGTACAGTCTACAACAGTGCAGCTCCACACTGAGTAGTTATTGCACAAAAGCAGGCCATGATAGTGACAAGATTTTCAGACTAGAAATTACAGGCCTTATCCAGTCTATTACGTCCAGTGAACAACAGTCCTTCATGGCACTCAACATTTTCAAATAGAAAAAGCAAGTGAGGAATGTCCAGGCAATGTCTGACAGCTGGTAAGATGGACACTATTGTGGTCAGCCAGATACAACTTGAAAAGAGCCCTCCACAGTGCACTAAATGATGCCAGGACAGTAACAGAGACAACAGTGTCAGGATGTAGAGGAGGAGTGACACTCAAACATGCTTTTCTGTGCCTTAGCAATGGCCAGTGTAGCTTGATGACAGCCAAGGTGTTAGTTCTGCACATTCACAAAGCTCAAGTACAGACTTGATTGCAACAGTAACAACTAAAAGTAAATACAGAACATTTTATTGTTTTTACTGCTACTTTACCGTTCCTGGACTTCAGATCTCTGTGGATTACTTTGACTGGAGCTTCCATGTGTAAATAGTGCATGCCTACACAAAACAAGCAACAGTCTAGTTAGGCAGGCTGAAGGTAGCCATTACTTATCAGCAGTCATGTTTTTTAGTTCTAATTTCTTGTCCCCATTACAGGCTGGCATACATACATGAAGGCCAGATGCAGGAGAAGGAAAGGTCCGCATAACCTACTCTGAGAAAAAAAAAACTAAGCTATGCTCAAAACACCTACATGGGTATGCTAATGCTTCTTAACTTCATATTTAATTACTTTCTCTAATGTATTTTCTGCACTGGGAAGCTAAGATAAGAATGCACTGTTCATTAGTTTACATTATTTCCTGTACGGCCACAGAGAGCACAAAGGCTCTGCATTACTCTGTGAAAAATGTCAGCATGTTTGTGAAGAACCAGCTTCCTTAAATATACCAATTCAAATAAAATGTAAGGATAATTATGCCTTATAATTACACTGTATCAAAATTATCCTCTTGGGGCTTAGGAGCAAACCAGAAGTATAAAACTAGCTCATAGAAGGCATTTTCACTCCAGAAATGATTTTGGATTTAGAATAACAAAGAAACATATTGAAAAGAACAGTGAATGAGTTTGTTGTTGTTGCTTTTTGTGTTAATTACAGTTGTTTTCATTTGTTTTGCTTTTCCTTTTGCTTTTTTTTTTTTTTTTTTTTTTTGACAACTTGAAAAAAGTAGTTTAGGAAAGCTTTCCTGACTTAATAAGGAAAGTATCTTCATTTGTTTGCTGCGTAAAATAAAAGACATCACTGGTCTGGTCTTGCTTACCTTTAGCTATGTCAGTTGCCCAGGTCATTATATGATCCATATCCATCTCTTCACTTTTGTTACTATTAATGTAATCAAACAGTGAGCCAGCAGAAGCATACTCTGTTAGAAAAATAAAACATAAAATAAATAAAATAAATGCATATGACATTTTAAAACACTGCACCAGAACTATAAACCTTAATGGAAACTCTGCCAGTTCCAAAAAGCAGCTCTTTGAAGCTTAATGACAAAGAGCTTGGGTTCAGCAACTAACACTATTAGTAACACAACAGGAGAGTAAAAGTCCATTCTGACTGTCCCAACACAGGCATACCTACTGCTAAGGGAAAAGAAATGTGAAATCATCTATTATGATGGGATTTAAAATGAAAAGGCATCAGAAAGCTCTGGTATAAAGAGAGCTAAGGCCAGGCAGTTCCAATTCCAGAACAAAAGGTTCTGGTGATTATTTTCTTTTTTAAGATTTATGAGGGTCATTTCTGTTCAGAGAGAGAATGCTGTAAAAATGGTAACGTGCTGCTGAGCAATTTTGTCCACTTGTGACTTTACAGACTGTATGCAAATAGAGGCATGCTTTCACTGCTTTACATTCCCTCAGCTCAGGATGAGTCAGCACAGCTAAGAAAGCAAGATGTTTTCTTATGCTCCTTGTTCAGCACCAATAGTTGTTTTTCTTAACTTTTTCCACCTACACCTACAGAAACCCGAAGCAGGATCCTGCAGGCAGAAGCAAAGGCTTTTTCTGCCCATCAGTGTTTGCAAGCATGTCAGACAGAACACAATCTGACTTCCAGAGTCCACTGGGCTATGAACTGGAATACCAAGCTCATTACATTTAGACTTTGGGAAACTGGAAACAACTGAAATCCCCACAGCACTACTTTTATATAACTTCAAATTCTTCCATATTTGAACAGTGAAGTTGCCTCTCTCAGTCACAAAAGCAGTTAAGAGATGAGAGACTGGTAGTACCAGATCCTTACTGCTGTTTCCAAAGAGGACAGTCATCAGTGGTGAGAAGTACTGCCTTTAAATTATGCCCCATAACAAAAGACAATTATTTTATTTTTTATATAGTAAAATCAAGTATTAAATATATAATATTCTGTTAAGAAAAAACGGTAGTAGAAAATGAAGACAAAATTTTCTACCTCTTCATGCAGGAACAGAGAAGATAAAATCACTTATTAATTAAAACAAAAACAAAACAAAAACACACAGGAAGGAAGGAAGAAACTACAGGTCTAACTTTGAAGCAAAGTGGGGCAAATTTTCATGAGCAGCAGGGCATGAAGCAAACCAGCTGGTTTACAACTGAAATGCTTCATATCTGCCATTTCAAAGCAGCAACAAAATCATTCTCCTCTCAGACTACAAAAAATATATCCAAATTGCTGTTTATGATAGTATTAATCAAAGAACAATACATCATAGGCTAAATGTATAAAAAGTAAACAGTGTTCCTCATCAATGAGATCAAAACCACTGGGAGAGTACCGTGTGGGTCAAGACATCTGCAGCCCAGAATATGGTACATCACATAAGAAGATTCTGTTGCTAAATGTAAGGAATGAGGGAATAAATACTAAGTCCCTTGAAAGTAAACGCTCTAGTTGCAAGTTAGTTTTGGTTCATTGCTGCAGGACCTCCTGCTGCAAGGAGGCTCTGCAGGAGACAGGCATGTTGCTTCTGATGTCACTGAAAGAGGACTAAGATGCTGACCTGCACATTTCCTCAATTAAAACATCAGCTTTTTTTACCCATGAAGTCATCATGTGTCTTATAAATGGATTCTTCAGGAATAGTCTGCCTGCATGCTTTTCATGCCTTTACAATGCATAATTCGATCCACCAGAGTCAGGGATAACTGAGATCCCCAAGCCCTTTGCTGCTCTGTATGAACAGAGGCAAGCGATCTTCAAGCGATATAGCTTGATTTTTCACTAGTTCTCCTAGTATATATTGTGCCACAGGATTCTACCACAAAATTATAGATTTGGAAATTACACTGCCACTGTAATTTCTTTCAGTGATAGAAAAGAGGTATTTGCTTTAGAAAGTAAGGTTGTGAATGCAGAATTTGACTTGCTCTACCACTGACTGGGATACATTGCACGCATCTGCACAGATAGGATACATAAGCACTAAAAATCCTTTGGGAGGAGGCAGCAGTGATCAAAACCTAGACCTGAAAGCTACACACCAAGACTGCTGTTTGCAGTCTGCAACATCTAAAACAATGTGATTCACGTTAGCAGCTCAATGGGCTCAACAACCAGTTGTAACACTGATAAAAGAGCAGCTCCAAAAATGTTTTAACTATGTTGGTCCTCAATGTCAGAGGCAGACCGTTGTAGAGGTCGAACTTTCCTGCCAATATTCCATTATGTTGTGCTGCCATGTGGCAAATGGCAGCAGAGGAGGAATTTGACAAAATGGCCTTTGACATGTAAGTGCATACGGAGCAGTGGTTTGTTAACAAATACCTCTATGCAGAAGAAAAGGCACCCACTGACATTCATAGACACTTGCTGAACTTTTATAGAGACCAAATGGTGGATGGGAGCGCAGTGAGCGATACATTTCAGCAGTGATGACAGAGAAGGTACGTTCCAGACAGTCACACAGATTTTACAAGCATGGCATACAGGCTCTTGTTCATGGCAGGCAAAAATGCATAGCTAGCAGTGATGACCGTACTGAAAAAAAGTGTTTTGTATTTGAGAATTTACTCTATCAATCAGTGCTATTGTGCTCTTTCTATCTGTTGTAGTGGTTTCCACGGAAATAAATAGGAGGAATTACTTATGGAGTGACCTACATACATCCCTGTACATGTTTTGACTGCAGATGTAGCTTTTATCATTTGGACAGAGCAGTCCCAGAGAACTCTCTGACAACCCCATATAAGATGTTATGTACAGCCAAAACTCAGTATATGCTTGGCTGAATGTCCTCATCTCCATCATTCTGAAGATCATTAGGTTCTCGGGATTTTTTTCTCATTTGGGTTTTTCCCTGGCAGGACATAGATCTCTGAATAAACCATAGGATTAAGACTGCTGCACTGAAAACTACACAGAAGATCATAGAGTAAAAACCTCTCTCAAAGATACGTCAAGCACAATTAGCATTTTTTCCTAAGTCTCCATTCTCTCATTTGAAAACAGCTGGAGAAATCAAGCCTTACTTCCCTTTCAGCCCGAGGAACTCAAGGAACTCAACTGCAGGGAGAAGCCAATGCCGTTTAAAATCAGAATGCTTTTTTTTTTTTTTTTCTTTCCTTTAACCAGAATAGATTCAGAATAGATTCAGAGCTCTTCCAGTAACAAAGAGGACTACAGAATAGTCTCCTTCACACAGATGGTCCATATTCCCAATGACATAATGAACTATTTCAGCTGTTCTCTGTCCAGTGATGAGCAAGCATGTCAAATGACCTTCTCCAAACACTGACCTTCTGTGAGAGCAACTGAGGACTTTCTGAGCCAGACATCATTCTGGATGATCTGATCACACATTTGCTTTGTTAGTCTGCTCTCTAGTTTGCACTTATTACCTCTGCATTAGAAATTATAGCTATATTACTTGATTTATTAAGATTTTTATTACATAAAAAAGGTATTTAATTTCCTGTCTGATAATGATATAATCAGTCTAACCTCTGAGCAGTATACACTAAGATCATCCTTCATGCATCTCTGGAGTACTGGTGGTACTGTTTTCCAAACTGCGACATCCAAATAGGCAATGAAGCAGTTGTGCATCTCAGAAGTGCTACCACAGTATTATGCTGCCATCTATGGTGTTAACATAAGGCGTAAGAGACAGGCAGAAGTAAGTGAATTTCCACAGGTTTTGTGCACCACTGGAGGGATTTCTACAGCTGATTAGAAGCTGTGTTTTTTCCAGCACACAATCTGGGGTGGATCCTCTCCAGCAGATGCCCTGGAGATAGCTAACACCAAAATGAAACCTTGGCTAGGGCCAGCATTTGCAAAGGCTGACAAACAGAAGATATTGCCTACAGTTTGGAGATACCTACACACAAAAAACAGGTTCTGGATATCTTCATATATGCCCAGCAGGTGACAGATTACAGCTATACCCACTTTGTTATCTTTGTGGTACAGGATGCCTTGTTCTGGCAGCTGCATCTACTCTGCATCTGATGCCACCCAATAAACAGAACCGTAGTGCCAAATGTTGTTGTCTCTTTTGAGGACAGCAAAATACTGAAATTGGGTGTACTCATAAGACCAGAGTTTTACAGAGTCATAATGAAAATCAAAAGAAAATTCTTACCTGTAACTATGCCGTAATTTGGAGGTTCGATGACAGCTCCATAGAACTGAATGATGTTTTTGTGACTGAGCACGCTGAGTATTTCTGCCTGTTGAAAATAAAAAAGGCAGACAATTAAGAATGGTGCCTTTACTGTGGTATTTTAGACTCCAGTGGAAATACACAAATATTTAACATATATATGTACACACATACATATACGTGTCTAGGAAAGACTACCCACAAATGCCTAGAACTTAGAAACCTCATGTGTGAGTTCAGTAGACGAGTGCTTAGCTTGTTCAGAAAAAAAGATCATACTATTCCTTCATATCAAGGCACAGATGTAGATGCTAGGTCTCTGTAAAAATCTGAAGGCCTAGAAAATGCAGTTCAAAGACAGATCTGCAATATTTGGCAGGGCTGTAGAAGTTTAACCCAAAAATTGTGTTTGTGTACAGAGCACTGTGAGATCAGTGAGCCCAGAGCTCCAGGCAGTTGAGAGCATACTGTGCACCATACAGCTCAATCTGATGTTTACTGGAGACATGGAGTTTGCTACGCATGCATTGCAGGTCTAATCAAACATGCACAGCAAGCATGCTTGAGATTGCCAAATAGCCAGCAGTGCGGTTGAAACTGTTTTTCAGCGCAGGCTCTGATGATTAGAAGATGTTTAGAAATTCTGGATAAATATAAAGAATCTTTGAATTCCACTTGAAAAATGTTTTTAGGTATGATAAAGACTGAAGGATACTGAAAATGTATCCACAGCCATTAAATCACACAATCCACCAGGCTTTTTGAGGGAAAGTAACAGATATTACCTTTGAGACCTCACAGTGGTTTTGCTTTAGTAGTATATTAAAATAAACACTCAAAAGATTTTGCAAACAAATTTTTAAACAGAAGTATGTATTGCACAAATACAGATAATCACAGAATCACCAGAGTTGGAGCATTACTTACAGACTAATAGGTCGAGAGTATGCTAACTTCATACCAGTCGTGCATTTAAGAAGGAAAACGTTACTGTCAGTTACTCTGAACTTAGCAAGTATCCCTTCTAACAAAGCACTTCTCAGATCCTTTGACTGACTGTAAGAGTGTTGCTGTTTATCTGAAGGTGAGTCTTCACAAATCTGCATAGAGAGCTGCCAATTACACTCCTTTGTGGCTTTCACTTTGTATAGATTTGTTGAAATCTAGAAAGACTAACAGCTTTGATGCAGCAAAATATGTTAAAGTAGCTAGTGCTACTGTAAAAAATGTAAAGACACTGCAAAACAACAATTTTTTACCTATGTTTTATAGCTGGAACAGTGATACATGGGTAAATAAACAACCACAGATACAAGCTTCAAAGGGTTCAAATATTTTTAACTGTTGTTTAAAGTTGCTGTTTAAAGCCTTTTCTGAGTAACTTCAACAGTTTTGAATTCACACCTCCAGCTAATGCATGAACATTTATGCATACTCATTTAAATCTCAAACTATAGCTTTGAACTTGGGTTGCATCAGCTCTTCTGCAAGCTAGTGAAATGGTGCTACTATGAAGAGAGAGATCTCTCACAGTATCAGAAAAGTCATTTTCAAAACAGATGGCGTTTTCAGCAAATCATACTGTAGTAGGCCATAGGACACAAATCATCCACAAGGCAATCAAAGAACAGAACTGGCAGCTGTGTAAGCAAAGGTGGGAAGCTTCAGCTGCTGATGAACACTCCCACAGGCAGTGGCAGGATGTGACTGAGGATGTGTAGGGCCTGCCAGGGCTCTGGCAGCAGCAGCTCCACCCTCCAAGCTGCCTCCCACCAGCCTTCCTGGACAGCTGACCTCTGCAGCAGTGGCAATGCCTATTTTACCAGCTGTGCCCTCCAATATCTTTGATAGCATCCTCTGGAATGGAGATGGCAGCCTACTCCTTCAAAACTGCATCTCCACATGCTAGCAGACCCAAGGCCACTGTGCTTCAAAAACTTTTGTATTATGCTTAAAATTACTTCAGGAAATACTGAACTGCGGAATGTCCTCTATCAGCATTCCCATTAGATAACCAGGAGACCCAGTACTCCTTGACTATCTACCTGAATACTGCTATAAACAAGACAGGCACACCAGGCCCCAGTCACCTTTGGACAAGCCATTTATGCTGTGTTTTCTTGAATATGTAGGTTAACAAGAATAGATAAAAACTATCTTCTTGTATATATAATGTATAATATAATGTATTTATTGTATATATACATAAAATCCATGAATTCAATACAGCACACCACCTGCTACCAAAATAGGCTGTTCGAAAATTAAATGACTGGCCCCACATGTAACATTCCTGTAGCATTATGCATTTAGAAGCAGCACCAGACAAATCTTTTGTAGAAGGATTGCATCACCACATGACGAGCACATGCAAGGAGGTACCAGACCCCATGGGCACAGATTGCCTGGCGATGGGCTACTGGGCCACCGAGGGCCTCACTGGAGCCACAGGGCAACAGGAGGGGCTGCACTGCTCTTATTACTTAAAGATTCAGAAAGAACTACTTTCAAAGATTATTTTATTTACAGTGTATTGCACACTAAGGTCACATTCTAGGAGTTTGAAGAAATGCTGTGTCGACTGCAGCTATTATAATCATATTAAAAATGATGTCCAGATTCTAAAATGGGATTTAACAGATGCCAAAGCAAGCTTCCATCTAAGTATGAGGAAAAGCACCTACTAATTGCACACAGATATCTCAAATTAAGAATCATAGGAAGAAAAATTGCCAACTCTTCCTAAGGACCATTACTTTTAAAATAGATCCTTTCTAAACACTTTTAATCATTCTAGGCTATTCCTTTCATCTTCTGTTCTTTTCAGTTGCTGTAGATCAGCTGTGAAATATATTAGGCAATTTAAGGACGCTTTCTCCTTGCAGTGAGAACCAGATGCATGTCAGTCCACATCTTTGAAGCTTTTGTACTTTTTGAGAAGAAGGTACCATATTTCAATGAAAGACTGTAACCTTCACATAGCAAATTACAAAGTACTGGTTAAAGACTGGTGTTTCAAAGGCACTTACAAGAATATCTGGAATCACCTTTTAGCATCAGACTCATACTTAAATCCTAAATGCCTAGATGTTTGGAATAAAATCCTGCCAAGCACATATCTCTCCAGAGGCCATTTAAGAATGGCAGCTCTCACTGGCTTGGATATCACATGCTCACTTACTTTGGTAAAGCTGCTACCTATCTTATACAATCTAAGTGAGCAAGAAATTCCTTCCTAAAGCCACCCTGATGACAAGTAGCAAGTTTTAGTTACTTCATTGTATTACTTTTTTAATTTCTTTAAATGTTGGATTGAAATAGAACTACAGGAGGCTCAACTGAAGGAAAAGTAGAACCTAAATATGCCAATGCAAAATTCTGAGAGTTCTTCAAGCATACAAGCTGATTGCAATGGAGCTGAATATTGTTCTTAGTCTCATGATAAACTTAGTCACAATCTGGTACTGATTTACTGATCAACAAACCATGCTAAAACTACCTGCCCCTGTATTTACACCACAAGTACAGGTAAAATTATATGCCTCTCCTGAGTGTTGCTGACAGACTTCCCTTATGACAAACTTGATGTCATTTCTCAAAGGCAGAGGTATTCAAGAGTCTAAACAAACCTAATCCACTATTTATAACATTCAACCACTATCAAGAAAGTCAAGGTCAGAACAAAAGACGTTAAAAACATTCTAACTGAATACTCACTTACTGGCTCTTGTAGTATTACTGTAAATCAAACCCACCAGATATTCACAAAAACCTACAGTATAAGTAGAAATTAAGATAAACCCTAAGTGTACAAACTAATTGTGTCCTATGAACCAGTCTGGATTATGCGCTGTAGTGCTTAACGGATAATTTATTTTTATACTTGTTAAATCTCTCCTTATTGACGTATGCAAAAGTGTCAATTACCTCATCTATGGCTGACATGCCACTACAGCTGCCTCGAGACCTGCTAGTACTGCTCTCACGTTTTTAGTACAAATAGCTATGCAGAAATACTTGCAACTTCAATGTTTTCTGCAGGTAAAACTACAATGCTGACAGGGGCTGAAGGAGCAGCACACAACTCAGCTCTGACAACATCTCCAAGGTTGTGCTGACTGCAGGTGCAGGCAATGGCCATCCAGTGCTGATTTGGCACTACCCCGGAATGCAGAAAAGGCCTTATCGTCAGATCTTTAATTGCAGCCACGTGTGAGAGGATGCAGACCAAGGCACTCTGCATACAGCTGTGTTGTCGCCTGCAGCTCCTTGCACCAGCTGCTCTCGTCAGAGTTCCTGGTCCTGATTCAGCTGAAGTTAGCAAAGACCAAACTTCTCGCTCTGCTGGAGTTACTCTGCTCTGAAAGAGGGCTAGGAAATTTTTAACTTGTGCTTTTAGTCAAGACAATTGATTGAAAGCTTGGCTAGGAACCCATTCCACCAGCACAGCTTGATCTGCAAAACAACATCTGTCAACAGTGTTTTCTCAGCATCAAAAGACTTTTTTTTGTTCAAGTCTGGACAAACTGGTCCCACAGCAAATTAATCGCTGTTTCTGCTGGGTACCTGTGGAGTGGCTGGCTGGAGAGGACTAAGTACTACCTGTCTTCCACCCTGGTCTTCCACTGTGGTTTAGGATTAACATGAGAAATAAATGCGAGACCATCAGGGTAGCCAGCCACCAACCAGCTCTGCTGCTAACAAATCAGTTAATTGCACAGTAAGAGGCACCATCATTCTCTGCAAAATTACAGGTTTAGAAATGGTTAGCCACTCAAGGAATCTGATTAATACAACAATCCTTAAGAGCCTTCTAATATTTATTATTACATTGAGCAATAGTTTGGTTATTTACTTTTCCAAATAAATGTTTGTCACATTTATTAAGAAGGTATTTAGACACACTTAAGGCAACTCTGAAAACGTTTTTTTAAGTCTTTAGCAGTTTAGAGGCTTTGACCTCTGTCATGTTCTTGGGAGATTTGCAACATAGCTACTCTCACGTCTTTACAGTCTAATAAAAGGGCATCTGGAAGGGCTGATGCTTCATTAAAATCATTCTATTTA